TTCTTAAAACCCTAAACCCTAACCCCCTAAACCCTACACCCTAAACCCTAAGCCCCAAGTTAGTGTTCCGGGTTCAAGGATGAGGTGAGTTGCAGAAGTTTCTTGGAGGGTCGGGGGACTTAGTCAACAGCTGTTATAGGGCTCCCTAAAAAGATCCTTAACGGGATCTATAACGGTTCCAGAAGGTGGGGTGTGGGCTTTTGTAACTAGTTATTTTATAGACTTATAAGTATCATAGCCCAAAATAGGATCCATCGTAGGGCACTTATAACTCTAGTTAATATAACTCTAGCTAATTGTCTACTTACTAAGTCCACCGACCCTCCAAGTTCTGTCTGGTTTCCACGTGGATCAGATTGCATAGCCTTTCAGGGCTTCTACCGTTGCTTATATAAGGGTGGCAGCACACCCTAAACCCTGAACCCCAAACCCAAAACCCTAAACCCTAGACCCTTATGCTTTAGTTATTTTCTTACATGTTCTTCGGCTTCCGGTAGATCCTGGAGCTTAACCCTTTGAGAACCCTTCTCCGCTTAGTTCCCACATACCCAACCTGTAAACTCCTAAACTCTTATACTTAGTTTAGGGTCTAGGGTTTAGGTCCCCAATACGCAACCTTTAAGCTTTTTGGGTTCTTATAATTTAGTAGTAATCTGAAAGTTTAACCTTTTATCTCCCCTGGCCTATTGGGGAAGTACACTAAACCCTAAACCCTAAAGCCTACACCCTTATGGAACAGACAGCCTATCGTCTAGGACATTATCAGGTGGGTAGTTACCGATATACCTTAATAGAAGCCTTATAGGAGCCCTAAATACCCTAAAGTCCCCACCTGTAGTTTCCCTAAACCCTAAACCCTAAAACCTAAATACCCTAAACCCTAAACCCCTGAATTCCTTTAATATAGGACCCTAAAGCCCAAACCCTTTTAGCCAAAGCCGAGAGCCTCTCTGCAACTCGTGAGGCAGCGGCGCCATCGCTCCGGCCAGCAGCGGAGGCCACGTGAAACCATCGGTTTAGTGCCTTTCGCGTTAAGGGATTAGGGCGCCAAGGGTCTAGATCCAGGTTTTAGGGTATCGGGGGCTAAACTCTAAACGGCCCTAAAGCCCTAAACCCTAAACCCCTAAACTCTAAACCCTCAATGGTTTAGAGGGCTCAGCCAGCCTGCACCTGTATTGGGCTTCCTGCACGTAACCAGGGCCTGCAAAAACTCTGCATCATATATAATCAGCATAATACCATAAAAAAATCCGGGCATCCATAATATGGTTTCAGAGGTATGTCTTGTTTGATTGGGAGAATTTGGATGCTCATGAATCCCCAAATTCTAAAACTCTTAGTGGAGACCAGTTCTAGAGCCTTCAAGAACCTTTTAAAATCTCTGCTTTCTGATCCACTATAAGGGACCTCATAGAACCTACTTGGAAGTAAACCTCGCTGGACCCTTCAAGCAGTCTTCGGTTTAGGACTTCGTCTTGCTGATCCATTACAGCAGGGTTGTTGCTCCTGTGTAAGGGTTCGAGAAGGGTTCTAGAAGGGTTAAGTGATTTAGCCTGGGTAAATTAAGGCCTAGTATGAAGCCCTAATGCGGCAGGTATGATCTTGTTAGGGCTCATGAATCATGAAGCATTATAAAGATTTAGAAAGCTTTATGATTACCTCCTTATCATAAGACGTCGTTGACCCTAAACTCTTTAAGCCCTGAAGCCCAACCCCTACATCCTAAACTACGGTTGATGGTATAAATCTTGCATTGCGCATAATAAGGAACATACCATAATTCCCTTAGTTTAGGGGTCCTCAAGGTAATGCATGATTTATATCATAAACCGTACTTCCCTCAACCCTAAATCCTAACCTATCTTGGGTGGTTCTGCAAGGCAAGGATAGTCCTGGCGAGTGGCTCTGTCCAGGCTCGGGCTCTGGCTGCAGCCCTTTCAAGGTTCGTTCCCAACTCCATACCACGACAGCCTATCTATTTTTGGTAGGTTCTGTTCTAATATCTTCTACTTATTTAGGGCCGTGTGATAATCGTCAGTGTAGCCCAACGCAGCAGCAAGTCGTTGTGATGACTTGGTGACTTAATCCAACCAGCTGCCAGCAGTGCTAGGACGGCGGCAAAATGCAGCATGTCTTCACTGGCATTTGCGCCAGCTCGACGACGGAGCTGGATCGTATGCGTGGAGACCACCGTGGAGCCCCACTGAAAAAGACGCCCGATGCCACCGAAGCCAAGCCAAGACCGCGGAGCCCAATTCCGTGGAGCACCGTCCACTGAGACGAAAAAGGCTACATGGTCTGAGAAACCTTAGGGACCAAAATGGCCCTTAAAAGTAGGTGCCCTATACCCTTATACTATGAATCCCTATATGGTATATGAACCGTAAACCCTTTTAGGGTTCTTGTCGTCCCTAAGGAAGGAGTGGTGGTGGGCCCAGCGAAATGGCCGAGCGAATGCTGCGCGTGGCGTGCGTCGTGGACTTGACTGCCGGGCCAAGGTGCTTGCGATCGTGCTTTGGTTCCGGAGTCGTCTGCTTTGGGGTCTACCCTATTTTTCATAGAAATTACAGGGGGCCCCACGAAAATAGTTCAGGGGCTTCACAATCATAGACACTGCCTATTAGCCCCTAGTTAGCCCAAACAACTAAGCTCTGCCCTAAGGACCCTTAAACCCCAACCTGAAAGACCCTTAACCTCAACCCCTAAGCCCTATAAACCCTAAACCCTAAGCCCTAAACCCCAAACCCAAAACCCTAAACCCTCAGCCCTAAATCCTAAGGACCCTTACAGTAGACCCTAGTTCCTTCAACTCTAAACCCTCGCCCGCGAAAGCCTGAAGCCGAAACACTTCAACCCCATAGCCTGCCTTAAGGACCAAATGACCCTTAAAAGTAGGGGCCCTATACCCTTATATTATGAATCCCTATATGGTATATGAACCCTAAACCCGTTTAGAGTTCGTTTCGTCCTTAAGGTGATAGGCTACTCCTTAATCCGCCCAGAGAGCCTAAGACCCCTTAGCGAATTTGCCTTAAGTTATTAATTATAAGGGCATTAGGGTTTTAAAGTTTTAGGGTTTGGGTTTAGGGTTTATAGGGCTTTATTATGATTGTGGCTATATTCGGATATACATTCCTTAATTAAGCAAGGGGCCGGGGTTTTCGGCTCTCTGAGCAACGCCGTAAACCCTAAACGCCTAAACCCTAAACGCCTAAACCCTAAACCCCCCCTATTCCCTAAAGCCGAGTCGAACGTACCGGCGAGACTGGGCCCAGGCTTAGTCGAGGCTATCGTGCGCGCAGACAACATGACGAATGAGACAGAAGGCCACTTCGAGGGTCAGAGTCAGGGGTCTGGTTTAGGGTTTAGGGCTTTTAGAGTTTAGGGTTTAGGGCGGATTTTGTACGTAGGTAACAACCTTAAGGACCCAATGACCCTTAAAGGTAGGGGCCCTATACCCTTATAGTATGATCCCTATATGGTATATGAACCTTAAGCCCTTTTAAGGTTCATTTCGTTTTCAAGGAACAGGTGTTTTGGATGTTTGTTACCTGGGGAGTCTTAATGGTGTTTGCAACCGGAAGCGGTTTTCAATAGACGCTATAAGACCAACAATGTTAGTATTCCCTTAATTACAGGCTCTGCATAGTTCTAAGATGTTATAAGAAAATGTGTCTTAGAATCAGACTCTTGTTGTTAAGGTTCCTATTCAATACTGCGCGCCCCGGCCAAAGCTCGAGCCAAACCCACCCCTGAACTCTAAACTCGCCGCATCCTTCCGAACAGGGATCCTTAGCAAGACAGTTTTTGCAATTACAGGTTTTTAAGTTACCAAGCAATCTGTTAATCTGTGTATTTTGGTTGTGGGTTCCTGCTGACACAGTACCCAGAGAAGGAACCACTCTTCTTAGAAGGGCTAGCAGAAATGGTTTACGGGGTATTCTACCAGAGCTGTATCTGAGAACCCTCGGGAACGAACATGCACTACTGTTGATGATATAAATCCTGCATTACACTAAGGACCCTAAACTGTGGGAATTATGGTATATTCCTTATATAATGGGTAATGCAGGATTTGTATCATCAACCGTATTCATTCAAGCCCCTACATTAGACCCACGCGTCCGGGTGGAACCAACCTTAAGCACCAAATGACCCTTAAAAGCAAGGGGCCCCATACCCTTATATTATGAATCACTATATGGTATATGAAACCCTAACCCCTTTTAGGGTTCTTTTCGTCCTTAAGGAATGGATTAGGCCCCGACGTTGTCTCGGAGGATTAATTTCTGGCCGAATAAAGATCCTAGGTTTAGGGTTTAGGGTTTAGGGGTTTAGGGTTTAGGGGTTTAGGGTTTAGGGTTCCGGGTTTCGGGTTTAGGGGTTTAGGGGTTCAGGGGTTTAGGGGTTAGGGATTTAGGGTTTAGGGGTTTAGGGGTTTAGGGTTGAGGTTAAGCCTTGAATACTGCCCCCCACTCAGTAACAGTTGAATAGTATTCATAATAGGGGTAAATATAAGGCCCTTGATAGTAGCCCTATTATAGACTGTTACTGTATGGGGGGCAGTACCCAAGGTTTGGGCTTTCAGGGTTTTTCCAGAGGAAAACCCCTAACTTACGGATTTCTTTAAGTAATATACCTTAAACTGTATGTGTTAGAGTTTAGCGAAAAGAGTTCCTGAAACAAGGGGTTTTGGAGTCTCTGGGTTAGGGGTTACCTGAACCCGAACCGCTTTAAGGACTTATGCAAGGAAATCATAGTGAGGATCCCAAAACAGGTAGGTCATACAGGGTTCAGGTAGGCTTTAAGATGTAGTTTTGCAGGGTTTAAGGTTTAGAGTTTAGGGTGTTAAGCGATTAGGGTCTAGTGCTTGGAGTCAAATATCTAAACCCTAAACCCTAAACCCTAAACCCTAAAAGCCCTAAAAACCCTAAAACCAAAACGGCTCCTCGCAGGCGGCGTTCCCCGATTTCAGCGAGCTGAGCTTCGGCGAGGAGGGCATGGCGGCGATCCAAGCGGAGCACGAGCAGCTACAGGATTCTGGGTTCTTGTTAAGTGATTTAGGGTTAAGGGTTTAGGGTTTAGGGGATTTTTTTTATTTTAAGTTACCAGAATAGGGATCTATAGTAAATAGTAGGGGGTTTCTTTGTTATGGTAGCTTAAACTAAATCCCTTAGCAAGAACCCAGGATTTCGTCCGAGAGCATGATTGCCCTGCCAAGGACTCATTGTGGGACTTTCCCATAAATAAGGGGGTAGCTTATTTTTTGGGGTCCTTTTGTAGTAAGGATCCTACTATTTCAGTACTCATATTAGGCTCCCCCATTTTTTTGGGAAACCCCCATTTCTAATGCCGAGCTTTGGCAGACTTTTCGGTTCCTCGGAAGTTTCTTTTAATTATTCTGAATGCTGAAGCCCTAAGAGGAAGCGGTGGTGGAATGGCTCAAAGATGCCGCTGGCCCGGGGCAGCTGGACAGGAGTGAGCAGAGCTTGAAGAGCGTGCTTGAAGATCTTGGCTTGATGGAGGCGGCCGTGACTTGCTTTGACTACGACTGTCTCCGGCGGTTGTGGCGTGCACCACTAGCAGGCCGCAAGGAAGCAGATCATATTCAGCGCGAAATTGGAATGGAATTGGACAAGAAAGGGGGCATGGCCTGCATGCGGCTGCATTACTACATGCTGAACTATGCGCTGTGTGGCCAGTACTTCTTCGGGCCAATTCCGCGATCCACACCAGTGATGTGCTATGTCAACCACTTGAACATGGTATCTTAGGAGCCCAATAGGTAAAGTTTTAACTTTTTTGGTATATTTAACCCCTACTAAAAGAAAGGTTTGAACTTTTTTGGGCCAGGGTACTGGGCAGCTAAGGTATGGACTGGCATTGGTGAGTGGCTCTGTTGAGACTCACGGGTTGAGATGCTCCTCGTGCACCATCCGGCGATGGCGCAGAAAAATGCCTTTCCAACTCTGCAGCGATCGCTGTTCGGGCTTAGGGTGCAGGGTTTGCCTCGTCGAAGTCACCAGCGACCAGCGAGACTAACGAGTTATGGTCAGATCCGCCAGTGCATTGTGATGAGTCTCTTCCTCTTTTCGGAGTGGTTCCCACTGGATTGCGCAGTTTCTTAAGCGTCCATGTATTCATTGAGCATGCACGTTGACCATAAAAGTAATTAGCCCCCATGCAGGCACTTTATGGCCACAGTACAAAACCCTAAACCGTAAAGCCCTAAACCCTGAAACCCTATAACCCTAAACCCAAAACCCTAAACCCTAAAGCCCTAAACCCTAAAGCCCCAAACCCCAAAACCAGAAAACCCTAAACTCTAAAACCCCAAAACCCTAAACCCTAAAACCCCTAAACCCTAACCCCAAAACCCTAAACCCCCAAAGCCCTAAAACCCCACAACCCTAGAAAACCCTAAACCCCTAAAACCCCTAAACCCTAAACCCTAAAGCCCTACACCCTAGACCCCCCAAGCCGACCCTGGGAGCTTTCTTTAAGGTTCCTTTCTCGCCAGGTCCCAGGGTCGTACAAGTGTCACCCAAAGGCTCCATGTACCTTTATGGTAGCTACTTAGGTCTTAAAGGGGTCCCTATATAGGTACTTTAAGGCCTAAGTATCTACTATGAAGGTACATGGAGCCTTTGGGGTAGGTAGGGCCATACTTGGAGGTTCATGGGTAGTCAGAAGTAGGGTTATAAGAGCAGCTATAAGTCCCCTGATATGGGTTATAGTTACGGTTACCCTACTCATGACCCTACTTATAACTATCCATGAGCCTCCAAGTAGGGTGTTCGGGTATATGTTATAGTCAACTATAGGTCCTTTTTGTGTTGGGGCTTCCTAATTAAGCCCCCTGAACCCTATACCCTGAACCCCTAAGCCCTAAACCCTATTTCTATATGTCCTCTTTTTGTTGGGGTCTCCTAAGTAAGACCTTCAAGGGACTAAGGTATATAAGGGTTATGTTGGGTATTAGGATTAGGGGTCCCTTCTAGGGATCCTCCTATTGCCCCTTGAGACCGTATCCTTTCAGGGGATACTCGGGAAGCCAGCCCAGCGGGCCGGTAGAAAGTTGCCACTAGCTATCCCAGAAACCCCAAAACCCCTTAATTCAGGAATATATGCCTTAAATCTGATTAGGGTTCCTTAAAAGAGGTCGATATGGGTTCTAGAAGGGAATTATAAGGAATATATGCCTTAAATCTGATTAGGGCTCCTAGTATAATTTAAGGAAGTAAGAGGTTTTGGAGTCTCCGGGCATGGCAACCACAGCCAGTCTGGTTGTGAGCATTGTCGTCGTCGTGGGCGTGGTCGTTGTAGTCGTCGTCATCGTGGTCGTCGTAGTAGTAGGAGTGGTAGGAGTAGAGCAGTAGTAGTAGTAGTAGTAGTAGTAGTAGTAGGAGTAGTACTAGTAGTANNAGTATACACCATGCGGATGCAGTGTGAGCCATTGCTCTTGAAGTGCAGTGCGAGCCAGCTTCAGAAAGGTTGATCAGCAGCAGTGGAGAAGTAGTATAGTAGAGTAGTAAATTAAGAGTCCCGCAATAATTCAGTTATAATACAGCAACATATTGCAGGCATAGTAGTAGTACCGTAGTGGTACAACAACAATACCACAAGAAGATTTAGGACGTCCCAAAATCTCGCAATTTAGGTCTCGCTCATGCCAAGATATCTACTAAGACTCAAAAGTTTTCACATTGAAGGGGTGTCATCCTACACTTCCCGCCACAATCGACCGAGGCTGAGGCCTACTAAACTTGTACAGTAGTAGTACCTTAATTGTACAGTAATAGTGCAGTAGTATAGTAGTAGTAGTAGTAGGAGTATTAGGAATTTTTATAGTAGTTTTTACCACATAAGGACCCTCTTTTCACTGCCTCTGCGCGCCCGTGCCGAAGCGGTAAACTTGGAACCTAAAGCTTCAAGTACCCTATTCCCTTTTGTATGGTTCTTGCTACCCAAAAACGAATCCAACTTCCTGAAGTGACGAGTTCTCGGACCCTCAGGGACCAGGCACTTAGTAATTTGTGTTAAAAGGAAGGCAACTAGTCTTATACTTACTTATAGCCCTATGAAGGTATTTAACCTTACTTACTAAGGTAACATGAGCCACCGAGCAGGGACCAGGCAAAACCCCGAGCCTCATCAACCTGAGCTATACCCATGGGCTCCATAGTAGTTCCTTTTTGGGATTACCTTATAGGATCCTAAATACAAACCTCAAAAAGGAACTACTATGGAGCCTATGGGTACAACTCTACCCGAAACTTCGAGAACTCTCTGGCCCACAACCATACTTTCACTCGGAACATAGTTCCGTTTTTGGGGTAACCTCAGTTTTTGACTATAGCACCTTCGTCGTAAAGCAGTTACCCAAAGCAGTACTACAGTTCAGGTTTAGGGCCTAGGTAGAGTTTATTAAAATCCTTCGGCCCGAGTTCCCAAATAGCAGGGTTTAAGATCTCGGATACTACACTGTGAAGCGTTCTTGGTGCCGAAAACGGGCACACGGAGCCTTGGGGCTGTAGAACCTCTACAAAGCCCTTGCGAAGCCGAATCTGACTAATAGAGTAAGTACCCAGAGACTCCAAAACCCCTTAATTCAGGAATATACTTTAAATCTTATTAGGGTTCCTTCTATTTTTTAAGGCATATTCCTTAATTAAGGGGGTTTTGGAGTCTCTGGGTAACCTTGCACTGCCTTGCCAGACCATGCCAAAGGATGACCTTTCGGCTCTGGGAATCTGGACAGGTAAGCACTGGACCCAGGGCCATAAACATTCTATATCCTGAGGAGCTTCTCGTAGCCTTTGTATTATACAACATCCCGAAACCCTAAGCCCTAAGCCCTAAACGCGAAACCATGCCTTAAAGCATCCCACCGGCGCTCAGACCCTAAACCCTAAACCCCTAAACCCCTTGCCAGGTGGCAGAGGTGCGAGGTGTCATCGACCTGACACCAGGCCTCCTGGCAGCTTCCGGCCGGGTTCTTTGGGGTTTAGGGCTCTTTAGGGTTCTCTAGGGTTTAGGGTTCTCCAAGGTTTAGGGTTCTCCAGGGTTTAGGGTTCTTTAGGGGTTTAGGGTCTAGGGGTTTAGGGGTTTAGGGTTCGGTAGGGTTTTCTAGGGGTTTAGGGTTCTTTAGGGTTTAGGGTTCTTTGGGGTTTCGGGTTCTCTAGGGTGTAGGGTTCTTTAGGGGTTTAGGGTCTAGGGGTTTAGGGGTTTAGGGGTTTAGGGTTCGGCAGGGTTTTCTAGGGGTTTAGGGTTCTTTAGGGGTTTAGGGTTTAGGGGTTCAGGGTTCTCTAGTTCTCTAGGGTTTAGGATTCTTTAGGGTTTAGGATTTATAGGGTTCTTTAGGGTTCAGGCTTTATAGGGTTCTGGCGAGCTTAGGGTTCTCTAGGGTTTAGGGCTCTCTAGGGTTCTCCAGGGTTTAGGCTTTAGGAGTTCAGGGTTCTTTAGGGTTCAGGGGTTTAGGGTTCTGTAGGGTTAAGGGTTCAGGGTTCTGGAGGGTTTAGGGGTTCAGGGTTTTTTAGGGTGTAGGGGTTTAGGGTTCTGTAGGGGTTAGGGTTTAGGTTTAGGGCAGGTTTGCAGAGTTGCAAACCGAAAAACAGACGCTGCACATGCAGGCGACAGATCCTGGTTTAGCCTTAACGCAAAACCTTAAGGACGAAATGACCCTTAAAAGTAGGGGCCCTATACCCTTATACTATGAATCCCAATATGGTATATGAACCCTAAGACCTTTTAGGGTTCATTTCGTCCTTAAGGAATGCCGCTATGGAAGGCAGAGCTCTTTGACCTTCACTCGGAACCCAGAGACTCCAAAGCCCCTTAATTAAGGAATAGACCTTAAATTATAATAGGAACCCTATTAAGAATTAGGGTATATTCCTTATATTTCCCTTTTTGAACCCATACCGACCCCTTTTAAGGAACCCTAATAAGATTCAAAGTCTATTGCTTAATTAAGGGGCTTTGGAGTCTCTGGGAAGATTCTGACCCTCAGACCTGTGCTGTTTGGGGGCGGATGCTGCGTCAAAGACAATGCAGAAGGACAACGACTCCCTAAACGGACAACCTTGACGGGGCTAGCAAAGCAAGGGTTTAGGGTTTAGGGTCTACCTAAACCCCCCAAAGTAATTAGGTAAAATAATGGCCCAAAACCTCTAAAAGGCTATTATTCTACATACCTTGGGGGTCCAGGTAGGGTCTAGGGTTTAGGGCTTAGGGGATAGGCTAGCAAAGCAAGCCAGAACTGGGAGCTTCTAGAAGTGGCCAGGCTGACATCAGAAGCAGAGCTGGAACGCCCGCACATGTGCGATTCTTCAGCATGAAAGGAACCGTTCTCGGCTGGGTCCTGTTGCTTTGAAAGCTGTCGAGTCACAGAAGATCGCTGCATTGCACGCAGCGCAAGGTCCAGGCGTCAGGACGCTGGTTGGCATTGCCTGCACTGTGACAAGCTTTCCACAGCTGTCCATCATCATGCCAATATAATATGGTTCTACACACTGTAGACCGCTCAGAAAATGCAGCCAGGGCTTCAGCTGCAAGTGTTGGGGCCGCAGATCCTTTCCGCCATTCAACGCCTGCAGCAGCTTGAGCTCGTTCATGCTGCTGTTAAGCCAGCGAACCTGATGCTCGACAGCAGCTTCATGTCCGTGCAGTTCATTGATTTTGGGCAGGCGTGGGCGGTCGGTTCAAGGCCACAAAGAGCTTTTCTGATAAACCCTATATCATCACGTAGTGAACCCTTTAAATATCACGGCCCACGAAAAGAAAGCAGCAGTGCCGCAGCTGCAGAACATGGCTCCACCGACCGAGAAGAAGCTGACTGTGGTGCACCCGAAGATCTAGCAGAACCTTGTATACCCAGAGACTCCAAAACCCCTTAATTAAG